AGTGTAATACATCTCATTAACAGGTTAAAGAAGAAAACTCCTGTCATTATATTAGTAGATACAGAAAAATATTGAACATATACAACACTCATTCATGGTTAGAAAAACAAAACTTTCAGCAAACTAGGAATACAGAGAACTTCCTCAACTTGATAACATTTAGAAAGAAAAAAAACCTAAAGCTCTGTCACACTTAAGGGTGAGATATGAAAGCTTTTCTACCAAGATGGAGGACGCAGCAAGGATCTCTTCTCTCACCACTCCAGCAGTGCAGTGGAAGCCCTGGCCAATAGAATTAAACATGCAAAGGAAACCAAAGGGGTGCAGACTTTTCAAACTAAAAGAACTAAAACTTGAAGAAAAACTAAAGCTGTCTTTTCTTGCAGATGATGTAATATCTATGTAGAAATGTAAAAAAAAATTCTGGGACTAAAATTGATTACCTGTGAGACTCTGAGCCAACAACCCCCCCCCCCCCGCACTTTAAGTTACAGGCACTGAACTTTGTGAGGAACAGAGAAAGTGGCTGGGGCATGTTATCTCTATCTAGTTGCCCAATGGTGCAACCAGAACTTCCGGTGCCTGTTCAGCTAGAACTTAGGCCCGTGATGGACCTCTCCCACGCCTCTCCTTAGCCTCAGTGAGTCCCATTCTGCTCTCAACCTCTGTGAGATCAACACTTTCATACTCCACATATGAGTGACATCTTGTCTTCCTGTGTCTAGTTTCGTCCTCTTAACAGCGATCTCCAATTTAATTCAAGCTGGCTTCAAGGGCAGCATTTCTATTTTTAATGACTCACTGCCGTTTTTTTGTTTTGTTATGGCTTTTTAAGACGGGGGTCTCACTATGTAGCCCAGGCTGGCTCTGAACTTCAGGTGATCCTCCTGCCTCAGCGTCCTGACAGCTAGGTTGATGGTGTGCCACCACACCCATCTTGCTGGTTGTGCTTTTGTTGTCTTTTTTGATATGATGCTGGGGGTGGAGCCCAGAACTTCAGTGAGTGGGAGGCAAATCTCTGCCAGTTCCTGACACCCCAGCCCCCACCTGTATGCTTTTTCTTTTAATAAAAAGTTTTTGAGACAGGGTCTCACTGTGTAGTCCAGATTGGCTTTGAACTCACTATGTAGCCCAGGTTGGCCTCAAACTCACCATAACCCTCCTGCCTCAGCCTCCCGAGTGCTGAGAGTACAAGTGTGCACCACCGCGCCTGAGCCTTGTGTATTTTGCTATCCATTCTTTGTGGCCTGTACATCCACTGAGGTTGTCAGTTAATGAGACAGCCAGGATGAGAACAGGTTAGTCTGCCTTTTTCCTAGGTTCTGGAGTCACACAGCAGTCTGGTACCAACCACTCCACAGTCCTTTTACCTTCCTGTAAGGTTCAGCAGTTTTCCCAATTCTGTGGTCTTCAGTGATTCCAGGTTTGCCAGTTTACCCATGCTTTGTCTCCACACTTAGAAATCACACAGTGGCTTTGGAGCATAGCCTGAGAACCTGGCACGTTCTTCTGGCTTTCCTGGTGTCCTTGGGAGCAAAAGCTGGGCCCCTGAGGCAGTGTCACAGCACGGAGGGAGCCGGCGGCACCCTGCCCAGTCACCTGCACCTGCCTTCCCCCAGCACCCCCCTCCGGAAGCATGCACGTCCAAGAGACATGAAACTGCACTTTCGAACAAAAGTCCATTCACTAACAGTACCACTAATAAACTGGTGTGTCCACCTGTTGGGGCTTTCTGCGGCAGTGGAAGGGGAAACCACCTGCAAATGCAGCAGCGCGGATGCCTGGCCCAAGGGAAAGAAGTCAGGTGCAGACACCAGCACCTTGCACGGTTCTGCGGAGTTCTGCAAAAGGCAAAACGATAGCAGCAAAGGCCCGTTGGTGCCTGTCCGAGGCGGGGGGGGGGGGGGGGGGACGGGACACTTCCTTCGAGGAATGAACACTGCACCTGGCGACTTACCTGGCAGCACACTCCCTGAAACCTGTCACATTTCACTCTAAAGACTTGAATTTTGTTGCATGTATGTTAGACTCCAGTGAAGCTGTGTTGTTTTCAGACAACAAACAAGCATCCGTGCAGGCAGTCCCCTGCACAGGAGTCCCAGCCGGGTGTGGGGGCGTCTTCCGGTCCCGCAGCCGCTCGTCCCTTCTGACGACACCCCTTTTGTCTGAGTCTCTGCGCTCTGCCGTAGTAGGGCCGTCCTGCTGCGAGGAGAGCCTGTCCAGCAGGTGCCTTCAGGGTTTCCAGTGTCCTCGCCAGCCTCACACTGGACCTTTATCCCCACCGTAAGGCAGTACCAGGTAGGGCCTGGCTGGGCCCTGGTGCGTCAGCAGGTCACTGGGTTCACCGCGGTCACAGGCCTGGGTTGCGCCCGTCGGTGCCCTCGTGCGGTGTGGGGCCCGTGCACGAGGGGACTCGCAGCCTCCCAGCCAGCGAGAGCCTCAGGAGACGTGGCCCTTGGCCCTGGACAGCCAGCCCGCGCTGCGAGCGGCCGGGCCTGTTCAGCAGGAAGCGCCATTCAGCGGCGCGGCGGAGCCCAAGGAAAGGCCGCCCTGCGGACACGCGCCTGTGCACGGCCTGCTGCTCGGCGCGGTGCGCGCTCTGCTCGAAGACCTCCGTGGTCTCCGTCACTTTACTTTTGTTGCTTCCCGGGACTGGCAGTGAAGGCCGTTCCCTTCGCTCTGGCCCGCGTGGGTCTCCAGGACATGTTCCCTGCAAGCCTAGCTTTCTGCGCTTCATGCAGATTTGCCCGGTGATTCTTATCGAGCGAGGTTTCAGTGGAGGTAGGCCGGGGGCTGCTGAGCTACATGGGTGTTAGGCCGCTGCCCGTCCCGATGCCCGGGCCTGTGCAGTTTGGGGTCTACCGCGACACTCACAGCCCAGTGCCCTGGCCCGCAGCAGTGCCACACGCCAGGCCCAGCTCAGGCCCCCGGAGCCCCTCAGCTGAGGAAGCACTCTAAACACCAGTGTGGGTGGGACAGTGTCCTGCATGGGGGGAATACTGGGCATTCTTCTGATGTGACCCTATTTAACAGTTAAATTAAGCAGGGCATGGTGGCACAAGGATGTAATCCCAGCACTGGGGAGGCTGAGGCAGGAGGACTACCATGAGTTTGAGGCCAGTCTGGGTTACATAGTGAGTTCAAGGCTACCATGAACTACATGTGAGCCCCTGTCTGAAAAAAAAAAGTTAAATTAGTAGCCCCAATGCAGTGTAACAAACGATTTACAAAAGGGGGTCAACTTGCGCCTAATGGCAGTCACACACAGCAGAATGCTGTGGACGAAGGCCGAGATCAGCTAAAATGTGATAGGTTTCAGGCCGGGGCAGCTGTGTCCGAGCTGGAAGGAGCCCTCTTCTGGCACCGCCGCCTGCACTTCAGCCCCGCGGCCCCGAGACAGTGAGTTTCTGATGTTACACCCAGGCTGTGGCAGTGTTACAGGAGCCCTAGCAAAGTAGTAACCGTTATTTTTCTTGATTTCACTGATCGATTGCTGTGCTAGGGACTGAAACCAGCCACATCCCTGGCTCCTTGTAGTTCTTTATGTTGAGACAGGGCCTTTTGTGGTTTGGCTTGGGTTTTGTTGTGAGACAGGGTCTCGTTATGCAGTGCAGGCTGGCCTCAAACTCATGGTGCTCTTCTACTTCATTCTCCTCAGTGTTGGGGTAATAGGCGTGCACTACCACGCCCAGCTCTTTGACTCATTTAAATACCCTCTGTGGGCTACACATTCTACAAAGGACATACATAAATATCCACGTGGACTCTTCTCACCTTCACACCTGCTGGAATTATTTCCTATCATACATGTGTACATACACGTATCTGTGTGTGCCCGTGTGGCACTGCTGGTGATCACAGCTGTGACAATCCTGCAATACCAGCCCAAGTATTTTGCCACTGAGCTATACCCCGGCTCCATAATTTTATTAGCCCTAAGTCTGAGGCTGGGAGTGCGGCTCAGCAGTACGCCCAGTGTGCATGAGGCCCTAGGTTTTGGCGTCAGCACTGCAGAAAAAAATCAAATTGAAAACTTCACATCTTACATATCCTAGGGCAAGACAAGCTTTATTTGCCTGAGGTAACCGGGACTGTGCTTTCTCTGAGCAGGGTCCTCACTGAGTTGTTATCTTCAAACAAAGCCCTGGAGCCGTTCAGCTCGCTGTGTTCATGAAGGAGTGTGTGGAAACAGCAAATTAACAACACTGCTGCATTTATTAAGCATCAGTGTGGCCACTGCTCCACTTGTTACAGTTACGTCTTCAAATCTAAGAAGTCTCTGTAGGGCACACCGTATGTATCACTAAGAAATAAAAATGTTTCCAGTGGAGGAGACTGTAACACATCTCAACTTCAGCAATGAAACCCTGGGCAAGTCAAGTACCGCAGGGATGCAAGGTGGTGCCTGGTGTGACCCTAACAGCCGGACGCCAGGAGTCCTCTTATATTTGTCTGGGCAGCAGATGAGCGGTGCTAGAGAAGGATGAGTTATTTTGTTTGCTGCTTAACTTCACGTTCTGTGCTTCAGTTTGCAAAAAACACCGAATCATGTAGCTGGATGTTTGGAACCAAAAAATACATTGTGGCTCTGGACTGCAGGTGACGGGACCTAAGGCTGGAGAAGAGTGCTTGGACCTCGGGCTGGGCCAGACTGGGGCTGAGCCTATCTGGGATGCGGGTGGATGCCGAGAAGGTCCGAGGTGAACCCGGGAGGATCGGGCTGGGGCGAGGGGGACCGGCCTGCAGCGACTTGGCGAGAGGTCAGCAGTGCCGCGCGGGGCTGCCCGGAGCTGGGAGCAGGGCGTGCGCTGGGCAGCTCTCGGGAAGCCTCAGGACTGCTGAGGCTATTGCGGGCGCCCAGGCCAGAACAAGGACCTCTATTAATTTTTGCTCAACATCAACGCTAAAGCCCAATTCTATGAGACTGTATCAGCTAAATAGTGGGCTCGTGCTCAGCTTTGAAGTTAACAGTCACCTCCATCTCCAATTTTATCAGGAAAAACTGTCTTTAATGAAAAAATGAAGATCCCAGGTTACCTTGTGTGGGTAACATCCACTTATTTTATTTTTTGCTGCCACCGGGATGGAATCTTAGAGCCTCCCCGAGTTACAGGCCCAGCCCTAGAACACACGTTTCTGGACCTCGAAGAGAGGGGCTCGCGGAGTTCTGGCACTGGCTCCAAACTGGAAGCCCTCCTGTCTCGGCCTCCGGAGGCGCGGGAACTGCGGGTGTGCGTCCCCGATGCGGGTTACCGCTCCCCGGCGTTCCCCCGAGGACCGGCTGCGGCTCCGCCCGGAGGAGGAAGGCTTGGGGCCCAGCGCGGGGCAGGCTGCACTCGGAGGCGCGCTCCGCGAAGCTTCCGGAACTGCGCCGCGGACGCGCCCCCTCTGGGCCCTCCCGCCGCCGGGACCCGCGGGGGCGAGCGTTGCCCCAAATCTCGCGGTTCTTACAGGCATCGCGATGCTCCCGCTCCCGTCTGTTCAGTGTTGCTGGTTCTTATGACAAAAGTTTAAAAGTCAGTGTTTAGAAGTAGGTTTGCCGACTCACATATACCAGGCCGGCTATCGTAGTTATGTGTTTCAAAAAAGTAGGGAAGAAAAGGGATGTGTCAGAAGTGGGATTCGAACCCACGCCTCCATACGGAGACCAGAATCCCCGAGCGCGGGAAGCGAAGCTTGAGTCTGGCGCCTTAGACCACTCGGCCATCCTGACACTCGATGAATTGGTTGAGATCCTGTTCTAAAGAGGGTTCTAGGACGGCGTCTGCGCGACGCGCGATGATGACGTCAGGCCCGCTTGGCAATCGCGAGCCTGCGGCCACCTGTGAAACGTCGAGCACGTTGCGGCCGCTGAGAAGACTGGCGGAAACTGGATGCGACCCCAAGGCAGGCAGCCGCGCGGGCGGAAGGAGGAAGGGGCGCCTGGCGGTCGCCCCGTGGCGGCCCCGCCTCCACCAGCCGAGGAGAAGCACCGGACTCAGCGAGCTCGGCCCGCGCCGCCGGGGTCGCCGCCTGCCAGCCCGCGCCCGACGGGGTTTTGCCGTGGTTCGGGAAGAAAGGAGTTTCTTTCTGTTCCTGGCTCGTTCCGGCCCCACCCTGATTCCTCCTTTACGGCGTGTTACGCTGCGGCTGCCTGATGTTGCTGTAACGGGCGCCACATCTGTTTGGGAATGAGCTGTAATTCACGTGAGGTTGTTACTGTTGGCCAGCGGCGTTCATGGTGTACGACGACGGCCCGGGCCGTCCTGTTTTTTTGTGAAAACGTCCACGAGGGCACTGAAAGGCCTGGCCGGGCGCTGAGGCGGTGGAGGCTGCCGCCCGGACACGCGAACTAGCCCACAGCAGCGCCTCGCCACGTTTCACAAGCAGGACCCGATTCCCGTACGTGAGCCTCCAGCTTGACCGATGCAGCCTGCGCCAAGGCGCCTCGCACGCAGGCGTGCGCACGCGCACCTTCGGTGGCCGCTGAACCGGACAGGCGCTGTGGAAGCTGCCCGCGCGACTGACTCAGATGTCTGGGGAAGGAAGCAGGCGCGAAGGAGCCCTGCCCAGCCGGCTCCGTCAGTGGCCCGCATCCTGACCGAACTCAAAGATTGCTTTGAGTAAATGCAGAATTATTTAGAGGTTCTTTCAACTCCATTCAAAATGGGCTTCTTAAATTAAAAATTTATTATTTTTTAAACGCGGCAGTAAAGTTTACTTGAAAAAGTAAAAGTGAAAGGTGAGCTAGCGCTGAGTAAGAGAAAAAGGGCCAGATAAAGTGCACCCAGGACCCCGGGCGGCTCTGCTGAGGAAAGCTAGCCTTAAATATTTTAACAGCCGGAAGTCCCCCATCCCACTCGAAGTAATCAGTAACACACGCAGACCTCTGCCCTCCTCTCTCTGCTGCACACCCCACAGGGAACCGTGGTCTTTCTGCTAATGTTGTAACATGGGTATCACAAGGAAAACGGTCTGCGGACTTTTCCTGTTGAGCACTGTTAATCAGATTTATTGCTAAAGATTCGTCCTCATTCAAACGGAAAGCAGCTTTGCGGGTCTGACAGCCTTGCTGATCTCAGCTGCAGCTGCGATGGGTGTGAGGCAGCCCGTGGACATCCCGGGGTGTCAGGAACCAAAGGTCCCTCCTGAGGGCGCACCTCCTTGCACAGGTACGCAGTTGGTGTCCTCTCCACGGACCTTTACTCTCCCTCCCTGCCCCAGTACACTCAACAATTAAGGGAATGTGGGATGTGGTTCTGACATGTTCCATTTGTGATCCCACAGGTGCTGCTGCGAGCAGGACTCCGATGTCAGGACCGCACTGCCTGTTCTGCCCTCCCGGCAGGGGGCAGAAGCCGCACATCTGTGGGCAGAACCGAGGGACAGGGTCGTGTGTCCAGCTCAGTTAAGAGTCCTGGCCAGCTGGTTCCTAGCTGTGCACCTGGGATCAGTCTCCTACCCCGATGCTTCAAGTCTACATCTGTAAAATCAAGGAAATAGTGCTTCGTGAGGTTATGAGCCCGAAATAAGTTACAGTGAGTAAAAAGCTCTTCATGCTGTGTGCCAAGCATGGCTTTCTGTCAGCACTTCGCATGCGTGTGTGTTTTACTCTATATATTCACCTCAGAGTATTGAGAAAAGGTAACCTAGTCTTACGCACTCCCCATTGATAGTCCCTGGTTGCATTTCTCTTAAAGGCTAGAGAATAAATTGGGGCGTTATCCTCAGTTCATAGTTCTCGGCCACAGAACCCCAATGCCTAGACCAGGAGAAGTTCTTAGTCCATGGACTTTCACCTCGCAGCAGAAAAGATCCAAATTCCTGGGAACAGGGCTGTCTTCTCAGCCTGATCTTTCCTCCTCAGCACACGAATGCACCCCCCAGGCCTTGTGTTCCTGGTTCTGCAGTCAGCAGCGTTTTGGGCTCTCTGATCTTTCACAAGTGTGTCCATTATCCCACTGCCAATTAAGAAAACACAGATCTCCATACCACAGGGGCTTAACCAATGAGTCATGGCCCAGAGATATCCAGCACTGCCTTTTCAGGACTGTTAGCAAATGACTTTTACCACCGAGATGGAAGAAAATACTGACCAGAATGGGATCCTGGAACCACACTGGAAATCAACATGTTCCCTCCACTCTCAGTCTGAACCCAATCCCACCAAGACCTGGGAAATAAGGGAAATATAAACATCCATTATCCACTTTATTTCTAATCAAGGGCATGTACCCAAAGAGAAGCATGACTAAGAACACCCCGGGACTCGCAGTGATGTGCCTTCCAACTCCAGAATGGCTTCCGTGGCGATGGTCCTGGGAACGAGCTGTCCTTCAAGGCACACGTATCGGGAAGGTCAAGCCCTGTCCCCCAAAAGAGGTGGGAGAAAATAGGCAAGGCAACAAATCCCTGGAACACGGCAGGGATGGTGTGTGGCTGACCAGGGTGCAGAGATCCTCCTCCATCAGCATGAAGGGAGCAGAAAAAGCCCTCCCGGATAACAGCGGCAGACTGGTGAGAACATCACCTCACGATGGACTGCCATCGTTCTCACCACGCCTGTAACAACCAACCCAAACACATTAGCAGTAGTGGAGTTAATAAAACTTTGAGACCGGAAGTATGGGGTAGAGGTAGTGATCCAAGGACAACTGTGGCAAAGGCAACCATGCTGGCAGGCCTTGAAGGTCCCTCAGCTTCTCAGGAAGAAGCCCTGGCCTGGAAGTGACAAGAACCATCCAGGACCCTGGCTGAGCCAGGAGGAGTCAGGCTGGGCCAAGGGGAGCTGTCTCAGTACCCTCCACGTCCCAAATGGTCCATTCTCTACCTGCTCCAGTCATGGTGAAACCCAGAGTGTGAAACACGGAGGCCATCCAGTTTTATTTGTGGGCAATACTGATACTTCTCATTACAGCTCACAATTTGCACGGGAAGAGGAAGGGTCCCAGGGAATATGGACATCCCACACCCCATGGCGAGGGGAAGGACGTGGACATCCAGTCCCAGTGGACAGAGGCAACACTTGTGGGGCGGGGCCCCAGCTGCCAGCCGGCGGCCCGAGTTCCGCTCCTCACGGGGAGGTCTCCATGGACCGACCACGACTCCCAACGTGGCCAGAAAAGCCATCGATCCCGCTCATGGGGCAGATGATGAGAGGAGCCGCGCTCTTCCCGCCCGAGTAGCTCAGGCTGAAATAGGGCCGCACCGGCCCACAGAAAGTGGCGTGGGAGAAGGTGAAGGTGTGGCACCTCTCAGTCACATTGTAGAAGGACACCTCCCCGGCGTCGTAGTCCAGAAAGATGCCCACACGCTGCAGCGGGCTCCGCAGGGGCAGCGCAGTCATCGGGGAGGTGAGGGCCCAGTACTCCTTCCCGTACCACAGCGACACAGCCCAGAACCCGTTCTGTGGGGCTGAGGTCACGCCGCCCTTTCTGCACACCGAGTCTTCACAGACGCCGATGGTCCACTTGGCCTTGTCCCCCACCTCCACCTCCCAGTAGTGGCGCCCGGCGATGAAGCAGGGGGAGCCCAGCACACAGGGAAACAGGTTGAAGCGCTCGGGGTTGTCAGGCAGGTCCTGCTGCAAGTAACTGTACCGCACCTGCCGCAGGTTGTCGGACAGGATCAGGCTGGGGTAGGCTGTGTCTGGGTCCAGGGTCACGTCCACTGCAGGACACAGGGAGGTCAGCCAGGGCACGGGGACGCCGGGGACACCCACCCCCACCCAGGACCAGGGCCCCGCCGCTACAGGCTGCGTTCACTTCACAATGAGGCACACGGTAGGGCTGTTCCCAAAGTTACAGTCGGGATTGTGTTAACAGTGTAGCACAAGTACTAAAATCTTACCGCATTCCCTTCTTCTCCCTCCCGAGCCACAACCGCCATTGTAACATGAATCTGAGGGTTCCTTGCCTGCCCACAATCCCTTAGCATGAAAGCCTCAGAGGTCCAAGGAAACATCGCAGAATTCCGAGATACAGATTCTAGACAGCAGGGTCTTCCATGCACTCATCAGCTGTGAACAGACCTACATGCAACACGGATCGTCCACATCCTGCAGGATACAGCTACAACAGCCCTGCATACGTGCAACTTTGCTGCCATAATTAACTTGCTGCAAAATAATGAAAAACCTTTGGCCTGCAGAGACTGGCGGATGTGGACTTGTGGGTGAGGGACTTGAATCCGCAGCAACTTGCTGCCCTTCAAACCACTGCTTACTTCGTTCAGCGAGACCCTCGCTCGTCCACTGCTGTTTCTCTAAGGCCCCACCTTCCACGCGGTTCTTCTTAAGCCCACAACTCTTTGTGGTCTGGGGATTAAACCCAGAGCACTGGACCTGACTTACATCCCCAGCCATTTATATTTTTATTTTACGAGATGGTCTTAAGTTTCCCAGACTTGAGATCCTCCTGCCGCAGCCTCTCATAGAGTGGGGGTAACAGGCACATGCCACCACAACAGCTTCTACTCTTGCTTTTAAATCTGAGGCTGTATCACTGTGTCACCTCTCCTGGTGTTTGGTGTTACTGAGTTCGCAATCATGTGGTGGCTTTTTGCTCGAAGAGCCCTCATCTGCACAACCATGAGCTCTTCAGACGTTCTCGGGAGAGGGAATCAACTCCTTTATACTCTCCGGAATCAAACCCGGAGAGGGTAAGTGATCCTGCACATTATCCACCCCTAGTAGCGCATAAGGGGTGACCAAGGACCCCAGGACCTCTGGTTCTTGAATCAAGTCTGTCCACAACAGCACCACACCGGGGCCCTGCACACACGCTAAGCTCACGCTGCAGACACTCAGCTCCACCCCGGCCTAGCCGCCTCCTCTCCATGCTGTGCGTTTGTCACACCATTAACCGTCCACGGAACCCACAGGCAGGACCACATCTCACACTTGTTGTCCTCCTGTGGCGCTGGGGGTCAAACCTAGGTCACGAGTAGGCCAGTGCTCTCCAAGCAGGCCGCGCCCGTCAGCCCGCACAGCTCGCGCAGGACACACGCAAAGCCCTGTCTCTGTCGAGGGGACGACGCACAGATGGCGGCCAGCGGGCCCTGAGCGAGGCCGAGCGCAGGGGCTCCCCTCATGAAGAGGGCTCCACACAGGGGCGGCGGCCTGGCTGACAGAATGTCGCAGCTCAGGCGGGGGAGCCTTCCGGGCAGGCTTTTACCTAGCCTCTCCCACCCGCAAGGGTGAAGGACGAGGTCAGCACAAGGACACAGCCGGACTTGCAGGCGCTTGCCGGCTCTCGGGGGGCAGGCAGGGCCCTGCCTTCTGCTCGGGAAGCGGCAGCTTCCCCTCTCTTCCGCTAAGAGCCTGCCTGACTTCCTCCCTCAGCTGCGGCCCGAGTGTAACCGAGATGAGACGCGGATTGCTGTCTGTGCCCCGCTCACAGGGCGACCTGCAGATTGCAGGGAGGCACAGCCCCGTCACTCACAATGGTACTTAGGTTCCCTCCCCGGTACGGTTCTGTCCTCCATCACCTACCTGAGTATAACTGAGCCTCTCTCAGTTCTGAAAGAACAAGAGACAAGACGTTACGGAAGGCCACGAGTGAATGCGGGAGCCTGTGACCCGAGGCGCACTTGCTGGTCATTGCGACGGGTGGTCTCCACTAGAGGGCCCGTGACCCGGGGCAGCTGTGCGCTGCCTCCTCCGCAGTTCTCGACTCCAGCAACCGCTCAGGACTTCGGGGAGGAGGGGTCAGGAGCCCCGGGTAGAAGGACGCTGGCTCTGATGACGGCCACCGCCACGCTGAGGCACACAGGTGTTGTCACGTGGTCCCGTGGAGCCTTGTCAGTGGCAAATGAGTAACGGAAGCAAGGAGAGCCAGCTAGGAAAGCCACATCAGAACCAGCCGCCTCCCGTGTGACCCTGGTGCTGCGGGGAGTCGCCCGTGTGGCTCCGAGGACGGGGGTCTCCAGCGGCACTGCCAGGTGCCAACACAACCCAGGGAACGCACGGCCAGCTCCCCAGTGGAGGCGGCCTAGGGGCGGGAAACGTGGACGTGGAGCAGCCTCCCCCAGACGCTTAGAACACACTGCGGAAATGATGGACACAGGGTTTATCATGTTTCAGGCTGCACCCTGAAGTTAATCTTGTAACTTTTTTGTCGGGGGGGAAGGTTTTCCGGTACCGGGAATCAAACTCATAACCTTGTGCTTGCCAGGCAGGCGCTATGCCGCTGAGCTAAATCCCCAGCCCCAATCTTATAACCTTTGTGCAGCAAGAACTATTATTTCGCTCTCGTTGTGCAGACGAGGAAGTAAGAGCACAGACCCTTCACTGACGCGGGAGGCCGCTGCCAGGTGACGTGCGCTTCCACGCTGCCGCGGACTTGGTCCGCCATGCTGGGCACGCGGGCTCCAGCAACCCTAACCAGCCCCGTCTCTGCTCATTCTGCGGCCCAGCCAAGCAGCCTCATTCCAGATGAGTCTTTACACCGCTTCTCTTCTTCCTCGTCCGAGCCCGAGAACCGGCTGGACACGATGGGCCTCATGCTCTCGAGAACGGGGGCTGCTCACTGGGAACGCACAGCAGGGCGGGCAGGAAACACCGGGCTCTCCGTCCGGCTCTGCTGACACAGATCCCCTCCCTCCCAAGAAAATCCAACCTCAAAGCCAGGCAGGAGGGCGATTTACCTTGAATTTTCTCCATATCGGACTGCATTTTTTCTAAGGAGAAAAAAGAAGATGTTCAGCTATATCCCACATCTGTGTACCTGTGCTGGACAATATATATCCGTCAGGCGATCCACAGACATTTAGGGTAAAAACCCATTTTCCCTCCGGACCCCGCTCCTCAGATTTGTTACCTGTGAACTGCTTCAGACTCTCTGTCAAGAACAGGCATTTTTGGGCAAAAATGTGGATTTTTTCTTGCAGATCTGGAGGCGTGATCCAAGGTTCAGGGATCCTGATTCTTTCAGCCCTAGATTTAGAGATTACATGTGAATCCTTCCCTGGATTCCAGCACCTTCCATGGGGAAGAACAGGCCTGGCCTAAATTCCCTGACACCATCAGACACTCTTGGAACCAGGTACTGCAGCTGGCAGCTTCCCCTCCTGGAGCGTGAGCCTCCACATCAGAACGAAAGGCATCTCACATGCTTTCATTTCCTCCAAGGCACCCAGCCCACGGGTTCTCACACAGTAAGCTTTCAGAAAGGTTTACTCTGCTCTGGGAGGCTGAGTCAGGAGGATTCCAAATTCAAGGCTCATGTGGACAATTTAGCAAAACTGCTGGGAATGCAGCTCAGTATGAAGGCCCTGGGCGCATGGGGTAGGAATGGGAGTTATTTACTGAACTAAACTGAATTATGAGGCTGACCTTGCCAGAAATCACTCAGTTCCAGGACACAGTCCTTGATATTCATGGTGGGCAACTGCTCACTCTTCAGATTCCCAATACTTTCAGATAGACAGGCCCTCCACGAGCCAACATCCAACTCTCTTACCAATCTAAGGGCCTACGGCAAAGGCTGCTCATTGCCTGTCCAGCACCCTCCAGGTTTTGTCATGTCCCTTGTGTCTAGATAGGACCAAACTTCAGCCAAGGAGAGGTGAAGTACCTCACGGCATTTTGAAAAATCTACTCCCAAGCAATCTGCTGTGATTCATCTCCATTCTCCTGAGTGGAATCCTGCAGTGGTCTATGTGAGGACCAGACCTCAGGGAGGGTAGAACAGCAAATGGGAAGAAAGCAAGGTTTTGTTTTGCAGTTACTAGAAGATGAAGCCGGGGCCTTCACAGTGAACTATATCCCTCACCATTTTTTGTTTTGACAGGGTCTTATTAAGTCACTAAGTTGCTCAGGCTGAGCACCAACCTGCAATCCTCCTGCCTCAGCCTCCCAGAGTGATGTGGTTATAGACACATACCATCATGCTGGGCTATGGATCACTGCAGCTACCACCCAGGGCAGGGGCTGCCTACCTGCATGTTTCTTACATGGTGACAAACTTTTTATTATGCTTAAGCCTCCAGCCAATGAAAATATGGGTCCTCTCTCAGTCCTTAATGACACACACCGCTAGTGTCTGCAGGGTCTGCCCCGCCAGCAGAACTTGCCTGACACCAGAGTGGCGGAAGGAATACTGTTTCCTTGGGTCATCTGGATGAAACTGGTACAAACGCCAACTTTTCTCCACCCCAGGGACCCTCAAAGCCACAACTGTGCCCGCATAGCCTGCGTGCCGCGCTCCCAGCCTCAGCCCCACACCTCCTCTGCCTCGCCAGAGGCCGCACCTCTTCCCTGCAGGACTCTGACCACACCGCACGCTGCGGCACCCTCTCCAGCAGCCCACTCTCCACTCAGTCTCTGCCTTCCCTCTCCCCTGCGAGCTGTCCCAGCTCCTGCCTCGGCGCCGAGGCCAGAGCCCAGGGCCGCGCACCTAAGCACATGTGCCACAGAGCCACCGCAGCCGGCTCGCTTGCGGGCTGATGGCAGAGTCGGGGAGCGAGCACGCGCTGGTGGTGCTCCAGTGACTCCCAGGCCTCACGGGTCTGGGACAGGAAGAGGCGCACGGAGGAGGCCGGGTCTGCCATCTCCCCTGGCGCTCACCCTGGTCCCCGCGCATCGCCACCGTCCCACAGGAGCGGCCTCATCCTCAAGGCACTAGCACTGAGCCTTTCTGGGCGGGGCTGGCTCCTGAGCTCCCTGAACACCCGGGCTCGCAGGCAGCAGTCCAGGAGGAGGCGGCTCGGCCCAGGCTCCTGCCAGGGATGACAAGGCCAGCGAGACAGTGCTCGTGTGCTCCACGTAACCCTGGAGGAGTGGGCCGAGGACGGGGCTCAGCGCTGCAGCTCCTCACCCTACACGCACAAGGCTCTGGATCCAAACCCCAGCCGCACACGCACACACTCAATCCCCAGTCACACACACACACACTCTGGGGGAGAAAACCGTACCTGCTCAGCGTGTCCCCGATGTCCTAGGAGAGAAGGAGAAGGACGGCCATGAGAAGTCATTAACAACCTGCGCTCCTCTCGCAGATGCTCTGCTTTCCAGAACCACTGCAGCCAGGGCAGGCGGCGGAAGCTGGGATTTCCTCACCAGCTCAAGCTTCTGTCTCAGAGACCTCAACTGCCCACTGGCCTGCCTTTCGCTTTCACTGTGAAATCACTCCGATCACAGGTCAGCTGCTCTACAGAGAACTCTGGGCTACTCTCCCGGTGCACCAGCCCTAACCTCTATCCCGGTGTGTGCGGAACCATGGCGGGAGGCCGCTGTTCCGCGCCAGCCCTCCACGCTTCCCCGTGCAGCTGCCCAGGACAAGTGCGTCTTCTTCGCTGGGTACAGCACAGGCCTCCAGTCCAAGGCATGGAGGGGCCACGCACGTGTCTGCCCTACCGCCCGGCCCCAGCTCCTCAGCTCCTCGGCGATGAGCAGTCCTCAGCCACCACACCCCGCGCAGTGGCAGCATGGTCCCGTACGGGCCTGGTCACCACTACAAGTGTTCCTCTGCCCTGCTGTCCTTCCAGGCACTGACAGTGTCTGACACAATGCCACACGTTTTCCTCAGGGTTAAATTCAGGTTGTGCCTCGAGTGTGGGGGTGCACACCTACAAATCCCAGCACATGGGAGGCTGAGGCAGGAGGATCGCTGCAAGTTCAAAGCCCCTACGAACTCTATAGTGAGTTCAAGGTCAGTCGGATCTACATAATGAGACTCTGTCTCAACACCCTGCTCCTCAAAAATTTTAAAATGAATAAATAAGCTGGGTCCCTCCAGAGGTGGTCACTGCTCATCCCTTCACGGCGAGGCTGGTTTTGATCGCTGTGTAGTAGCTCCTTTCCTTCCTAGTTAGTAAGCAATCTGGGAGACTTTCAGTTCTCACCAGATGTCCTCTCCCCCCACGATCTAGCTTGGTCTCTCGGGTGGCTCGGTGGTACACTGCCTGCCTGGCAAGCTTGAGGCCCTGGGTTCAACGTCAGCCCTGAAAAAAAGACTGAGCATCTACCTGAAGAAAATGTGGTATCTGTATACAACGGAGTCCTAACTCCTCAGCCACAGAGAGGGAAAATCTGAGTTATTTGTAACAAATGAATGCACCTCAAATCTGTAATGTTAAATGATATAAGCCAGGCGCAGAAGGTTAAATATCACATGGTTTCCCTTATATGAGGAACCTCAAGTACCAGTAATTTAAAGAGCAAAATAAGAGACAACAGGAAACAGGACGGGATGGAGATCTAGAGAAGGAGATGGATGGGGCTGGAGATTTAGCTCAGCAGCACAGTGCCTGCCTGGCAAACGCGAGGTCAGTTTGATTCCCAGTACCCGGAAAAAAAAAAACAAGAGAGAAAGAGATGGGAGGGGAAATAAGGACTAAAGTGCGATGTCTGTGCCCCCTCCCCACAGTGAACGTACTGCACGCCTCACACATCACAAATGTGTACTAACGCTGGTGGAGGCGAGGCACACACCTGTAATCCCAGCACTTAGAAGGCTCAGGCAGGAGGACTGTGGGAGTTCCAGGCCAGCCTGGAACACATCAAGAGATCCTGTCTCATAAAACAAAAAAACCCTCAAATCCATTGTTAAGGCTGATACACTGTGCTAACCTGGAGGGTCTAGAGGTTTGGCCGAATGACTCAGTAGTTCTGCATCCTGGGGTGAAAAGGACACGCCCTTACCCTTCTGGGATGTTGTTCACTGTGTCAATGTGAAGTTTAGAAGGTTAACTATGTGACTCAGCAGGGAGCCAGGGTGCTTACTTTGTACCATCCTGAGCCTGTGCAGGAGGAGGGCACGGAGACTGTGAGTGCTGTGCGCCCCTGGGTGGGGGTGGCCCGCTTACAATATTCGGGAGGGAAAGAGGCTTGCTCTTCTCCGGCCCTCCTCCCTCTTGCGCTTGTTGCTTCTGCTGTCTTCCTCCACCATGAACTGTCGCCCTCTGCCATGTGCTGCTCTGCCTTGGAGCCAGCCAGGTATGGACCGGAGCCTCCACAAACTGTCAGGTATATAAACCTTTCCTTCCTTCATTTTCCGTGTTGGGTATTTTTGTCTCAGCAAGGAGAGAAAAGTAACTAAGTTACCCATTACACAAAAAACTATCTGTTTTCTTGGTGTTCCTACCATAGTGGCCAAGAATGAAGAAAGCAACAGAGACAAAAGTTACAATGAGGCAGAATGGTTCTATCTAAGTAGCTACTGGCCGAGCCATCCCACAGCCTCCCCGGCCTGCTGTCCTAGTCCCTCTCACAGGGAGCTCCTGGGCGACATGCGCCCTGCTCCCGTCAGTTCCCGCTCGCATCCGAGGGGACAAGGCTCCCAGCAGCTTGGAGACCCCTCCCCATACAGCTGGGACCAGACTTAGCCCTGGCTCTGAACACTCTCAGGAATCCCCTCCGCCGCTCCTCAAGCACTTGGTCCTCAGCTCCTGCTGTTCTATCACAGGCAGGAGGCACAGAGCGCAGGCTCTGACCACAGCTGTTACAACACCCGAGGCCCGCGCTGCAGGAGGTGGTGACGGACATCGGCCCCTGCGTGGGCACGGCTCTGTGCTAGTGAGACCTGGACACTGTCTTCAGATTTCCCAGAATTTCACCAGTCCCTAAACACATGCTTCTGGTTTTCCCCAACCTGAAATGCAAAACCCTGCGTTGGCCCCAGGACACACAGGAATGCCTGGAGGGCCACCACTGGGTCTGTCACCAGCTGCACTGCCCGAGCCGCCTGTTGTGAGTCCCCAGGCCTTCCTGGCCAAGGACTCCTTGTGGCTGAGTCCCGGGGGCCAGAGCCCGGTGTGGCGCAGGCGGCCACGACTGCTGTGTGGCGTCATGCTGTGGCACACACAATCAGGGGGTCTAAGGACGCTACAGTAAAGCCCCTCTCCGTAGCACGTGCAGCCACCAGGGCCTCTGGGTCCAGGCTGCCCCAGGGTGCATCTGCTCACCAGGCAGGCAGTGCTGGGGCTTCCCGTGGCCCCTGCACGAACTGGGCCCGATGGTCCACAGCGTTTGCTTCAACTTCCAGTGCTTCCGTCATCAACACGCCTGGTGCCGAAGGTGGCCACCCATACCCACAGAGGCCGGGGCGCCCGCCTCACCTGCAGCAGCTCCCTGGTGGGCTGCCGCTGCTTCTCCTCCAGCTGATCGATCAGACCGCTGAGGTGCGAGATGTTGCAGGAGAACTGGGCGATGGCGCCATTGATGCTGTTGTAGATGGCCAGGTCCAGCTCCTCCAGCCGCGCCAGCAGCCGGTACTCCTGCTCCTTCAGGGAGTGGTACAGCTGCTCGAACTCCCACACGATCTTCTCCCGCTCCATCTGCGTGAGGCTCTGCAGGTGAGAGTGTGGCGGGGAAGGGACAGTGTCACCGGGCCCTCACGGTCCTCCCTGAGGACAGCACACGCTGGCCACTCGCTGTCCAGCCCTCCCTGGCTGAGCGCAGGATGCTGGGGGCCAAGTTCTCCCAGTCAGAACGGGACTGGGCCGTGAGCGGGGTGCATGTGGCGGTCACGCGTGGGTGCTGGGGGACAGGGGAGCCCGCACAGGAGCTGTGTTCATACAGCATTTTACAGCATGACCAGGAGACGAGCCTCACGCCAGGTGTCCGCTGCTCACCCCAGCGGCCTGAACCCCTGGAACCTTCAGGCAAAACCACAAGCGCAGGGCCAGCCCAGGCAGATGGTGAGACCCGGCTCACACTAAACACCACAAAAGGGCTGGGGATGAGGCTCGGGGCGTGGGCTGGGGTTCATCCTTTGCTGGGACAAAGAGATCCCTGAAAGCAAAAACAAGGCCACACCACGTCTGGTAGGCCAAGGGAAGGACTTCACTGCAACGACAGCCATCCAAGACGTCACACCAGAAGCTGTCACGCAGAGGTGACAGGGCCAAGTCGTGTCCCCTGTGAATGGCGGGAACAGCTCCGCTCCCTGGGCCTGTGTGGCAGCCCAGAGCTCTCTCCTGGGCTGATTGCTGGCCGTGGTCCGTCTGTCCTTCCTTCTCACCTCACTCCACTGTCAGGACACCACTTAATTATACTCTAAGTAAGGGATCAGTAAGGGGGAAAGGAAGGTTTTACTGGAGCCTGGCCCTGGCCCTCACTTTGCTGCTGGATTCAGAGGCTTCTGAGACCCAGGAGCAGGCAGGTAGGTGCGGCACACAGCCGCCAGAGCAGGCCTTCAGTCCCCAGCCCTCGCAGGTCCTGTGACACTTGATCCCGAAACCCTCCTTCCTCCTCCCAACCCGCCTGGCCACGCACCATGCCCCTGCTCAGCACACACTGGGCTTAGTCCTGCCAGTTCCCTCCTTTCTCAGGGGCTGAGTCTTCCTGGGACATCAGCACAAGTGCAACCTTAGAAACAAGCTAAAGCTCACAGGACCCTAAGGATTAACTAAGGCTTTCTCCAGAGGAGTGCTACCCCATCATGAGCCATCTGGCAGCCCCGCTCCAGCCTCCCCTCACTCTGTTCCTCACTGGGAAGACAGGGCAGTGCCGGCCTGCTGGGAACCCTGTGTCCACCCCGCCCCACTGCACGGATGAGGAAATCGAGGCCCGGCAGGGGAATCACGCCCTCCATGTGAACACCGGGCGAGCGCGGAGCCCGAGGTGCAGGGAGGTGCCTGGTGCTCCTGAGCTCCCCTCTGACAGAGAGGCGCCCTGTGCAGAGAGAGGTCCCTGACGCTGTCATCAGAGGCTCGCTTTTCAGCCTCAAAAGGAAGGACCTGTAATGTTGTCCAAAAACGTTTTACGCACTTAAGCGGTGAATATATGAACGCTAACAGTCTCTGTTCACGGCAGAAGCCCGGAACTCCTTCTGCAAGATCCTGGCGCACGGAGAGAGAGAGCGTGAAAGCGCAGCGCCGGGAGCTGTGAGGGGTCGCCCCGCGGCAGGGACCCCGGGACGCCTTACCAGGAGCTCGGCCCGCGCCTGCTCGCCCTGCGCCCGGCGCCTCTTCTTCAGGTCCTTCACTCTCCTCAGGTGGTCCAGCTGGCTCTGGATTTGCTCCTGGGAAAGCAGAACCTTCGGGCAGCCCAAGTCCGGCACAGGTGCCACGGCGCACCGCGTCGGTGCCGCACGGGTCCCCGCCCCAGGTCGCGGCGGAGGGGCACCGGGCACAAGGCACCCTCCAGGCCGCCAAGGTGCGAGGCGGCCCCGGAGACTTCGCGCTAAGTGTGGCCGCCGCGCGGGGCGCTGAGCGCTGCCTTGACCTTCCTGCTTCCTCCGTGGGGCGGGCGGCCGCCCTGCCGGCCTGCG